TATGACTTGTTTATTGAAAAGTGTCTGTGATACAAACATTTTTTTTATTTTTGTCTGTGTGAAAATCGATTTTCTTCATAAATCACCACTCAATTTGCCTGTGTAGTCGGTGAAATTGTCCGTGTACAGACAATTATGTGAGTGCATCTTGTAAAGTACCAATAACTTGTGTATGTCTTCCCTATGACTTCTTTATTTTAAAGTATCTGTGATACAGACATTTTTTTTTATTTTTGTCTGTATAAAATTGATTTTCTTCATAAATCGCCACTCAATTTGTCTGTGTAGCCGGTCAAATTGTCTGTGTACAGACAATTATGTGAGTTCATCTTGTAAAGTACCAATGGCTTGAGTATGTTTTCTCTATGACTTATTTATTAATGGGGTTTGAATATTACGTAGTACTTGTTTATTGTCAAGTTAATGTATCATTTCAATTTAATTTATTTTAACTAACGGGAGCTTTAACCATGTGACTGCTTCAGGGACATCTTGTACCTCTTCGTGACCAATACTAGTATCTTGAAGTCCTGTGATTGAAAACTATGTCTCTTATTCAATCGGGAGCAAGATAGGTGATATTTCAAATCGTGACATGAAATGGATTGAGAAGGTCAAGAATGAGAGATTTAAAGCAAATGATAATTACACACTTCATTTTTGTAATTAGTTATGTTGCACAGTTAATTATCTTGTATTAAAATGATAGTGTATTTAAACTTTCTTTTTTGGTCACAACCAAATATAGTATGTTTCTAAGTGTCTTTGTAAAGATAAGCTTTAATCAATTGTTTGTATACAGGTAATTTTTAAACAAGCTTGTTTTGTCTGTGTGTAGACAATTTAAATAAAGTTTTTATTTGTGTACAAACAATAATTGTTTGTTTATATTGTGTGCGCATAATTGTTTAAACCATAATTGTTTGTATAAATATTCTTTTTACCTTAATAGGTATATGTTGAAATAAGTTATTTGTGTCACTGTTCAAATTATTGTTTTATACTCCCTCCGTTCCTAAATGTTCTTCCAAATTAAAGTGGCACGGTGATTAAGAAAGTGTAAATTGTGTGGTGGAGAGTTGTGCAGAGGAGAGAGAAATGTTGTGAACCACAAATTCTTTGCCAAAAAGGGAAAGTGAAATTCTTTTTGGGACGGACGAAAAGGGAAAGTTGGAAGTAAATTCAGGGACAGAGGGAGTATTTTTTAAAATGATGTACACCAAACATTTTTTGATAAATATATGTTTATTTGAACCGTTTTCAGCTGAGACCAAACTAGATCAACATTGGAAATTTCTGTTAAAATATCTGTCCATGCCTTCCTCCGAAATCAATATACTCCGTAGAAGCTCCTCATGACCGAGGGACAAACAGTGGTTACGACTTGCGATTTACGCGAAAAAATGTGTTAGGTCCAGTGTTTTTATTTCAGAATATACGAAAATCGCTTTCAGCATCTCGAGGAAGATTCTATTTAGTGCGGAAGAATTATACGGAGTAGACAGAATATTATACGGCACAAACCATCCGGTCTACAGTCTACACCGTACACCAGAATTTGTCTAAGAAGAAAGAGAGAAGAGGATCTCCTGGACTCCTGGTAATGGAGTTGGTGAAGGGTGGCTGCTGTTCTTCCTTTTCATCTCACTCATCGTCTGTGCGGCCTAAGCTTATAAGGAGAAGCAACCGTTGCAATTATAAGTATGGTTATGGATACAAGACTGTGAAGAAAAACCGGAACAAGGAGAATATTGCCCATTTGTTGAATCCATTTCCACATGTGCACTACTCGCATTCTGGAAACTTCGAGACTCCAATTCATCAACATAGGATTAAGGCTCTCAACCAGGTTCGAGTCCCGCTTTAATCTATATTTAACTCTCGATTCAATGTTCGAGTCCCTGTTCTTATTCGCATAAGTTCTGCTCATGCGGAATAGAGTCGCGTATCTGACTTGGAGCTAAAAATATAGAAAAACATACAATTCATTATCGGTGTGGTGTCAGGCAGAGAGCCTCACTGGGGGGCAAAACATTTCTCCCCAGATTTTGGCTGTTGAGATTCAAAATTGCATTAGAACTGCATATTAAAGCAAATCAGGAGAGTGAGGGGCAGGCTGCCACCACCAGTGGTGTCAAAGCTAAAATACATTATAATGCACACGAGTCAAAACATATAAATTTAGGATGTTTTTATTTGGACTGTTTTCAGTACTATATCATACCAGACCAGACTTGAACAATTATAATAAAATACATAGAGACCAGACATTTACCATACCATTTCATATCAACAAATTTCAGTCCAATTAAAAACATCCTTAGCCGATTAACCAGTCTAATTCAAGTTAATCGGGCACATTACTCCAGTATTGGGATGAGAATATTGTGCACTTGAGAATTTGTAGATTATGTCTCTTGAAGCCTAAGGTTTTATGTATAAGTATTCACGATACTGTTCCTCATGTCTGCTAATAATGCTTATTAATGTGTATGCCAATTTTTACTAACCCCAGTCACTCATTTGTCCAATATATGATGTCTTGGGATATTTGTCCTATCAAATCTTATAATATGGAATCCCAATATTATTAAAGGTGTTGATCATGTGTAAACTACCTAATTGTACATACAGGTGGAAGATGAGAAACTAGAAAATTCAAATGCTGATTCTGGGTATGAAAACCTTGAATGGCCTTCTCCAAATGATGAAATTCCATTCTGGAAGAGGGAATTTCCATTACTGAACATTGCCTCAAGAGCTTCATCTCTTGTAGAACATGATTCTAACCTTATGCACATTGTTCATGTGACGGCTGAAATGGCCCCCTTGGCAAAAGTTGGGGGTCTAGGCGATGTTGTAACTGGACTTGCCCGTGCTTGTATATTGCGTGGACATGATATTTTGGTTATGCTTCCTTTTTATGAGTGTATTCCAAAGCACTGTATCAACAACTTGGAATTGATCAATACTTATAACTCATATCATGATGGAAATTGGGTCCCTACCAATGCTTATCGAGGAGAAGTTTCAAACATTCCCGTGATATTCATTGAACCATCTAACCATTTCTTCAAGGGACACAGCATATATGGAGGATCGTACAATGAGCTGGAAGCATATCTATTTTTCAGCCGAGCTTGCCTTGAGTGGATGCAGGTAGGTATTTTGTTTTAATGAATTTGGTTATGCTTTGGCATTATATAGACAAATTTAAGTTGATGTGTCACATCAACCTTATAATTATCTGCTTAGGTGAATCTTTGCGTCAATGGATGACTGCTCTCAAATTGAATCTATAATACCCAAATATAATATAAGCCACTTTATTAATATATTTCCTGAATGTTGGCTCCAAAAGGCATTCATGATTAAAAAAAAACTTTCTTCTTTTGGGCTTCTTTTATGTGTTTCTCTACATTATGAGTAAAACAACATGTCTTTCCCAATATATGACTCTATTAGTTATTAGTCCCAATATATGACTATTATTTATGATCTCACGTGGATGCTCATGGTTATGTTTTTTTAATATTCCAGCCGCTGCCCTCTACATTAAATATAGGAAGTATTTAGTTCTTCCTATTTAGTCGCTAACTGATATGCACGATTACTATCCATTAATTAAGATGTCTATCAATTAGTATTTCTAAAAATAAGGAATTAGTTTACATATCATAACTGCTTCCTTAAATATGGGATAATCTCATGCGTAGTATATTGTAACCACGGTCATTATTATATATATTTTCGGTACTTACAATAATAACTTAAATCACAGTTAATTTAATTTAGAGTAGAAATATATACTCGAGACCTTGTTAACCTTGTTTTCATTTCGAGTACGCCAGTAAAATTACTGCCAAGCTATATTATTATACACTGCTCATATTTATATGAACACATTACACATGTCTATATATTTTATTGCCCCTCTATATTTATTGCGACATAGATATACTTTCACTGCGATTAGTTATACTCTACATGCATGACTATACAGAGTAACTTATTTTACTCTTCCCACAACTCATTCTTTTTCACTGTCTAGTAATTACTGCACATTCTTAACCATTGTCATCTAGATTTGTCTCAATGCATGTATGCTCATTTTACTTCAATATTTTATCCAACGTGAAAATTTTCATTATCTATTTTATTTTAGATGCACCCTCCTTGTTCTATTACGTCAATTTTCATTCATTGTTTATAATGCCTATGTAATTTAGTGCCACATATATCATGTTTGATAATTAATGCACATGTATAACCACTATAATCGTTTATTCAATTCAATATTACTGCCTTTACTTATAATGCTCATTATGCGTAACATATGCAAATGGAATTACCGCCCTAGTGATCGTCATTCTTGCGTCAGCGACATACTTCAATTCCCTTTCATTGCCGCATTTTCAGTTCGGCAAAATTCACATTTAACTGCCTTTTCCTATCTTTATCTCACTGAAATTTACTGCCCATTTAATTTTCAAATTCAACCCACCAACCCATTTCCTCTACTTCACAAAACCCGAATTATTGCCCTAAGAATACATACTGTCCTCTGTACCCGCACCCCCCTTCAACAATAACTCTAGTTTTCCATTTAATTTACTCATTACTATCTGCATGTTCAGTATCCACACACATTAAGCAATTGAAACCTGTTCACACTTAAGATGTTCGCACTTCATATTGTCGTACTTCTCAATTCTCATGCATATTAATTCAAACCCAGATAATTTCACACACTCACACATAAACATTGTTTGGACTCACCACACCGTTGGCGGTGAATATATTCGCCGCCGGATTCAAAACAGTGCAGTTCTTCATATTTACTGCCTCCGTTTGTTTGGCGTCGTCATTCACCTACTGTCATAAGTCGCCCGTCTTCTTTGGTATTCTATTGTTGAAGGAATTTGTTTCCTTCTTCGTCTCTACTGCATTAATTGTTCTGTAGCCTGTCCCTATGAAGTCGGCATCTTTCCATTTCAATTTTAATTTCCATTTAGGTTCAAACTCTCAATAGACGATTAAGTGAGGGCATTGTATTCATTTTCTATGAAATAGAAACGTACGGTATTCGTGAACAGTGTGTGGTAGTCATAAGTACATAAATATTCTTTGTAGTCATACTATGGGAAGATCGATGTGTTTTAGTCATATTGTTATATTTGCCCCCTACTTTATTGATATGCATATACTCTGGACCATGTTCAATGATGTGCATGTTGATTTGACAATGATGTGGCATCCCCGCAAGGCTAGAGACTAGAGAGCCCTCCGAATGGCAAGCCTTCCCTTGTCATTTTGACAAGAGGCTGCTTTCAAGACTTGAACCAGTGACCTCTCAATCACACAACAACACCATAACCAGTGACTCGGTGAGCCAAGACTCCTCTTCCTTATTTTCATTTCAAGTGAAAAGAAACTTATGATGGTTATAGTTTGGGATTTCATCTCATTGTTCCTTTTTAAAAGGAAAATGAACAAGGAGTTGTATGTAAAATTGGACGCCAAGGAAGGAGAAAAACATATTTATAGACTTGCTCATCTTCTTGCTCGTAAGACTCAAGATATTGGAAAAGTTAAGTGTGTGAAACATGTCGATCAAAAGTTACTAATGGAGGACGGGGAAATAAAAGAAAGATGAAGGTCACGCTTTGATGCCTTGTTCAACGGGAAAAACACAAGATATTAGTGATCTCACTATACCAGGTTGTATTGGAAATTGGGATTTTGTGAGAAGGATCCAAATGGTAGAAGTTAAAGAGGTTATGAGAAAGATGGGGCGGAAGAAAGCAGTGGATCTAGATGGCATACCGATCGAGACTAAGAGAAGTTTGGGAGAGAGTTGCGTCGATGGTTAACACGTTCCTTGAACAAGATTTGGAGAAATAACATGTCAGCGAGTTGGCAAAGTATACTCATATTCCCCTATTTAAGAATGACGGTGTTCCACAAGAATGTGCCATTTATTGAGGGATTAAGCTTATGAGTCACACATGAAACTTTGGAAGCGAGTGGTTGAACAAAGGCTCCAAAAAAAGTGTGAAGATTTCAGAGAATTAATTCGGTTTTATGCCTTTTCTAGTTCATTGACTTAGAAAAGGCATATGATAGGCCACTTCGAGAAGTCTTTTGGTGGACTTGCCTTTAACTAGGAAAGACATATCACATAAGCATATCAACATCATCATGGATATGTATGGGGATTGTACTACAACTATTTGTACTAGTGTGTGGAGGACGGCTAAGTTCCCTATTACTATCAGAATGCACTAAGGATTGACCCTGGGCCTTTTTTATTTGCTATAGTCATGGATGGACATACAAAGTCAATTCAAGAAGATATAACATGGTGCATGATGTTTGTTGATGATGTTGCATTGATTGATGAGACACAATCGGATGCTAAAACAATATTGGAAGTATGACAACAAACATTGGAGAACAAGGGTTTCAGACTAAGTTAAAGTAAGACTTACTGTATGGAGTGCAAGGGACTAAGGTTAGCTCCGATATCATATATCGATTCATGTTAGCCGACCTCAAAATCTTTCGGGACTAAGGTTTGGTGTTGTTGTTCCTTTGTAAAAGTTTGCAACCGTAAGGTGACAATAATAATGATTGATTTGCATTTTCTTGATCATGATTTTTATATTATTGTTAAAACACGCATTCACACGTCATTCTGCTTATTCTTGAGTTAATCTACCCATGTGAAATTATATATAGCTAACCATCCAAAGTTTAAGCATTTCCTCATCCTATTGCAGGTGACTGGAAAACAACCTGATATTATTCATGTGCACGAATGGCAAACTAGTGCTGTACCTCTCCTTTACTGGGATATGTACCGATATCTATCAATCCAGGTATACCAAAGAGCTAATGTTTTGTCCTGTTTCAGCCTTTTGGAGCTCCGGCGCTCCGCAAGCTGATATAGTGCAGAACTATATTTAAATATCCGATTGTCTTTGATTCTTTTGCCTCATCTTTTGTAGAAACCCAGGGTTGTATTGACAATCCACAACATGGAGCATTACGGAGAGTGCAAGTATAGTACTAAGTTCATGTGCTTTAACTTCTTATCACATGCTTTTCATTGAAGAAATAAAAGTAAATTAAGGTCCCACTTGTATAAACCGAATAATCACTATAAGCAGACTTTGGTTTACTTATTTGGCTTAAACCTCGGTTACAAATAGTTTTCCTTTTCAAAAAATTGAGCTGATTCAACCAAATAACATTTACTGAACGGGCACTTAGTAGTATTAAAATTATGTATATGCTTTAGTTTAGTTATATACTGCCTCCGTCCTAAAATGATTTGCAAATTTGACTTTTTTGTCAATCAGTTTCATTTTATTCACTTAATTAGGATCGATCATCATTACCCTAGTGGCCTAGTGCCGCAAAGACTCACCTGCGGTGGGGTAAGGGAGGGTCGGATGTACGCAGTCTTACCTCCGTAGTAAAGCACAAAGAGACGGTTTCCAGATGACCCATAGTGAAAATCACATCCAAAATTGCATGAACTGACTGCTGCTTTACAACAAAGAATGCAGACAATTTGGTGAGCCATTTTGCTTTCCATCATATTTTCAAGCCAAAAAATAGGGAGTGTTTGGCTCCATTGCAAATGATGTCAATTTTTAATTATATTCTAATTTGGAATTTGCAACTTTGAAGAGATTTTAATGTAGTTTCTGAATATGTAAATTTAATTATTAAAAATTGAATTAATTATCAATAGGGAGAATTTAACTTTAACATTGGTTGACAAAAAATATTGACTTTGCAAAACAATTTGGGACGGAGGGAGTATATATTAATTCTGATTTAATAGTCATTTACCACTGATTTTCAATTAATGAGTTTGCTTGTACTTCTGAGAAGTGATTTATTATATAGAGAAAGTGCTTAATCTAAAAGTTGGTAGTGTTTGAAAAGAAAAGTGAAAAAGTACTCTTTGGTGTATTAGTTACCTAAAATGTTATAGAAAAGTGATAAACAGTCTTGAGCACCCCTCCCACTTGCTTATAACTTTTAGATTTAAATTGCTTAAATTTAAAAAGAAGCACCGGTTCGAAAACACTACTTTTAGGTGAGGTTTAACTTTTTCAAAGCAGAAAGTAGAAACATACTCCCTCCGTCCCTTAAAACTTTGCCAAGTTTGACCAGCACGAGGATTGATAAAGTAAAAACTATGTGGTTGAGGTTTGTGTGGAGGAAAAAGAATTATCTGGAATCACAAATTCTTTACTAATAAGGGAAAGTGACAAAGTTAGTGGGACAACCAAAAAAGGAAAGTTGACAAAGTTTTAAGGGACAGAGGGGGTACTTTTTAAGCAATGTCAAACACTCCCTGAGGCTTGATTTTTACTGGTTTTGTGGTCATTTACCATCCTCAAGGACCTCAACTGACCCTATTGTTGCTTTCCCGAGCACACATTTTATCTCACTGCCACTACTCTCACTGTTAAATTCCAATTGCACATACACCCTTCTAACCATTCCTAACTCATTGCATTCCCAAAGTGAATGGAAGACAGAATGTTAACTACTTTAGCTACTTAGCCACTTCAAATTCATTAACTTTTGGTTGGTATTTTTTGCAACTATTGTCCAAGTGGCTGTTTACATTGTTTACGTCATTCTCTGCCTTATTTTATATTGACAGCAAAGAGCAATTCAGCAAGTGTGGCCTTGATGGATCTTTATATGGATCGGAAGAAAAGGTTTGGTTATAAAACAAATGTAGAAGCTTCAACCATTTCTATATGCATACCATAATTTTGCATGAAAGTTCATAATATGGAGCTAGAAGATTTTGAAATTTCATGAATTAGTGACAGTTTGGTAAATATTGTAGGTATTCTGTTTCAGCTAAATATTGGAAAACCTTCAACAAGAGATAAATATAGAATACCTCTATAGTTGAGTGATCTTGCCTCATACTGACCTTAAAATTTCAGGCGGTTGATGATCGCACAATTGGCCACAATCCTGAGAGATTAAGTCTCCTTAAAGGTGGCATAGTCTACAGTAATGCAGTAGTGTAAGTTCAGCTAAGGTCATATGTTGAATATTGAAATGGTTAATGTGCACATAAAAGTAATAAGTATACACCTGGACATTAGGACATGCATACATACATGCCTAAAGTAAATGTAATTATCTTTATAATCGTGTGGCGCATACCCTATACCCATTTTATTCTTCGTGAATGTAGAACACTTTTGAGATCAATTGTTTTAAAAGTATAGTGGAATGGATTTTCAAGATAGGTGAGTAAATTATTGACAAATGTACACACACCCCATTTTCCCATCATTTGCAATGGAGTCAAAGATTCATTATTTTTTGGCTCGAGAATATGATGGAATAAAGCAAAATGGCTCACTAAACTGTCTGTGCTTCTTTGTTATGAAGCAGCAGTCAGTCCATGCAATTTTGGACGCGATTTTCACTATGGGTCATCCGGAAACAGTCTCTCTGTGCTTTAGTACAGGGGTAAGACTGCATACATCCGACCCCCCCTTACCCCACCGTAGGTGGGAGCCTTTGCGGCACTGGGGTAAATGAAAACGATGAATGATGAAAATGAAAATGTACATACACCCCATTGAACTTAGGGATTGGATTCTGAAGGACCCGGCAGGAGATAGGCAGTCTAAAATATTTAGAAAGTCAATCAGAAAGGATATGCATATTCTATTGATAATAATGTAGTGCTTGCGTTCTGAAAGAGACATTCATTTATATATCACAATGGGGCTACATAATGGAGTAGAGCACTAGAGCTATACTAGGGATTTTTTGTATTCTGTATGACTATATTTCAAGTTTCTGACACACCATGCTCTATATCATAAAGTAAGGACTCCAACAGATGAGTTGTAAACTTGTAACAGTATTTATAGTTTTCATAGTATGCATCATAGGTTTCGGTGTATTCATATGCTATTAGGAGTTTTAGATTGAATTGTGTCTTTTGGCAGATTAGTGTACTAATAACTCCATGCCGTGGAACCTCCTTATATTCACATTTTGGCACCTCCTTGGTGTACATAGATTTTTTTTCAATTGTAAAAAGTTTACATCACATTTCGCGATTTGGCTCATCATGTCCCATATTAGCATGATATTGATTAGAAGTACTTTGCCTTCAAGTTTCAAGTTTGACATGTGTACATGCCTATATGGTCCATGAATTATAATTTTATATTATTATCATCATCAATTCATCATTCCTTTGATTTTTTAATTACCTGTTAACAGTGCTTTACTTTTCCTCGAATTTTCAGTACTGTCTCTCCAACATATCTCAAAGAAACACTTTGTTCTGGATGGCTTGCCAGCACTTTGATAAGACACCGCGATAAGTAAGTTCTATAATATATTCTTTCCATAAAATATTCTTTCCATGGTTTTGTTTGATTGTTTTGGTAATTATTATTACTTGTGGATGTTCTAATGTTCTATTATAAACTGTTGTGTTTTGAACATTTTTACATAACTATTTAATGGGACGTATGGTCTATGGAGTTATGGACTTCTGATTAACATCAGAAAAGGAGTGTGACAGAAGTTTTATGCAATAATACAGGTATTCTGGTATTTTAAATGGAATAGATACTACAATGTGGAACCCTGCAACTGATATATATCTGCCTTCTAAATTTGATGGTAACTATTTCTGTATATGATATACTTTGCCGAGAATGTCATTTCTTAATTGTCACCCTCATTAGATTCCTTCAGATTGTATAAGGTAAGTACTGTTGCTACTATGGTCTATGAAAAACTTAATTATTACTGGCTATTCTTTCTCCACCCTTTCCCTCTGATTTTTTCCCTTGGTCTTGAAAGCTAGTAATATCAAAGGGAAGCAGACATGCAAATTCTATGTTCAAAGGGGGCTTGGTTTGGCCGCAGATGACATGAGCCCACGTGGTTATTCTTCGCATCGAGTGCCTTTGGTTGTTTGCATTACTAGACTAGTTCGTCAAAAGGGTCTTCATCTGATAATTCAGGCAATAAAGCATGTCAAGGAGTTAGTAAGTTCCCTTCCTCATTGACTTTTTGAAGAACACGCTCACAAGGCCTAAAGGAATTAGCTCTTACATATTGCTTATTCCTACAATGGCAAGGAAAACACATGCTAGGAGCTTCTCATGATTTCTATTGTATTTCCTTTAAAATGTACTTACCTTTCAATAAGATGGTTAACAGCCAAATATATTCCTCGTTTTCCTCTTCTCTTCCACTTGGCTGAAATCTTTGGTTCATCTTTAATGTAAAGTCTTAATGGTTGCTAGATCCTCTTTACCTTGCACACTTGATGGGGCCTTTAGGAGAATACAAAGGAATCTTAATTTTTTTGTCTATTTTGCATGCGAAGTGTATGTCCTAAGCCATGAGACCATTTTTTGGTATCATGCCTCTCCCAAGCCAGGATAAAGGAGGAGCACGAGGAGGGTGTTGTGGTAGGCGCATGACGGCCTACCATATAACTTTGTCACATGACATGACATGAGTCGAAATATGAATATCACTAGCTGACTCCGATTTCATCTGTCAATTCATGTTAGCCGGCTTCAAACTCTTTTGAGACTAAGGCTTGGAAGTTGTTGTTGCCTGCGAAATGTAGGAAAGTAATAAATTTACATCATTTGGTTTGATATTTAATGTAAACGGGAGGACACTCTTTAATAATTTCGCATCATACCATGTAAAACATTTTACATGGGGAGAGGGTGGTGAAATACTTTAATGATTCACTGCCAATCAGGCCCTCTCACTTTTTCTTATTTTCTTAATGGGTCCACCCTAAGCCAGTGTAGATCCCAACACTTTCATGCTCGTGAGAAAGTATTTGCTCATATATTACCCAAACATGAAACACTTCACTGTTTTTATATTGTAGCTTTTTGTGCATGAAAGCAGGGTAAAGTAGTGATCAACTTAATTCTTTATTTTTAATCTGCTTGCGTGTATCATTTAGTTAAGTTATTAATTTATTATTCGATTTTGAAGGGTGGACAGATGGTTGTCTTGGGGAAAGCTTCAGAAGGTCAAGTTGAAAAACAGTTTCAAGATCTTGCTAAATCGGTAATTGTCTAATTGTCGACCAAGCCGTCCTAATTCACATCTTTGGTGATTTTTTTTGTTTTGTAATTCCTTACATAAAAGAGCTCATATGATGATTATCTTTTGTGATGCATGAATATCATATAGCATAAGTGTAACAATGTAGTCGAAGGTAGATAATAGATTGGCCAAGAGTTGAAAAGAGCTAATTTTGTTGAGAGCGTACAGCCGTACACCGTACAGCCGATTGTACGGTGCTCTCCGTACAACCAGATATTTTATGTTAAAAGAAATGAGTAGAAGGTTTAAAAGAAATGAGTATTGGTATTGGTATTAAATAGGGCTGGGCACGGGCCGGGTCGGGACGGGTAATGCAAAATAAAAGGGAACCGCCGGTTCCATTGTACGGTTCGGTCCGGTCCGAGTACTACAAATTTCAAAATAGGAACCGGAAATTACCCGGCCATTTGAAACGGGTCGGTCCGGTCCGGGTTTTACGGTTTCTATTCTCATGTCTTGAAATTAGTAAAAACTCACGAAATTCCAAAAATCAATAATCAATAATATAGTACATTAGCAAGTTTCAAAATAACAACATAGTGATGCACATATAACACAAGCGAAAAGTCCAATACTCCATAATTTTTTGTATATAAATTTCAAACAATTAAAGAAATTCTTAAAATATGCAACATAGCCAAAATACATATTTTCTAACATTTGTATTTAAACATGTTGTCTAACATCACATATTAAAGTGATTGCTTTTTTTATATTAAATTTTCAGTATTAGCCAAAGTTGACACATACATGGTGGGTGGTAAACACAATTTATATATTTTAATAACAATATAATAAAAAAATATAACAAAATCATCTTTAACAAATAATTAAATTCCATAGAAAGGAATAGTTCAATAACAATAAAAAGTAATAAGATATTTATGAAACATTTCATCAATAATTTGAAAACAAAAGGATGTTAGTGCAACTCAATTTAAAATCCTACTTCTAGCAAAGGAAACAAAACTATTTCAAAACCGATCGTCACAAAACTATTAATAAATTAATATACAATATATATATATATATATATAACGGGCCGGGCCGGGTACCCGTTATTTTTTAATTTTGGAACCGGTCCGGTTCCTTAAAAAAAATTACCCGACCCTACCCGGACCGTTTTATGGCAACAAAAAATGGAACCGGCCCGTTTTGGACCCGAACCGCCATTACCCGGACCGGACCGCGGTTCCAAGACTCGTTTGCCCACCCCTAGTATTAAATGACTGTAATAATAGCACAATTGAGTATTAGAAGCATACAATTGATTATCGTGATCTACATGTAATATATATGCTACAAATCAACTTATTCATTTAACTATATTATCATCAAAATATTTATCGTGCTAATTTTATAATTCAATATCAATAATCATTTCTTTTTAGCGTTATATTCATTTCTTTTAAAATAAAATATGTAGTTGTACAGTTAGTATTGTACAACCAATAGTATGGTATAATTTGCCAATTTTGTTGATCTCTGCTGCAAGTTACATGGGTATTCGTACATATGGGTGTAATAACATTTCTAATTCTCAACACTCCCTCACAAGTTGGAACATAGATATTTGTCATGCTGAACGGGAAGCAAAAAACCAGTTTTATCTTGCATAAAATAAAAGTATAAAGAACAAACTAAATTACATGTTTCACCAATCTCAATAATGTAATGTGCATTAGCACAACATAATTATTTCAACAGAATTATTACATATTTACATCTAAATATATTGTATCTGGCCTCTTATTTTAACTTTAACATAGTTAGCTGACCATTTATTTGTTTTGTAGCATAGCCTTGGTTCCAGCGTCCGTATCCTTTTGATGTACAGGTAAATTTGTAATACCCAAGATCTTTTTACTTTTCCACTTTCTTTAGTAACCTCCTGCCGTTTTATTTTTTCTGTGATGTACACTTCTTCATCAATTCTTTCTAGGTCCAAAGAACATTTGGACCTTTTCAACTGACCACCTCATATCCCATTTTGGCCTTTTACGAAGAAAAACACTAAAAACTCTGAAAGTCTGAAACAAACATGAGCCAATTCAAAAGATTTTTGTTATCAATAAATAAGGATATATCAGCCATCAACAAAAGAATCCAAATCGGGAAAAGGTGCAAATAGGCCCATGTACTAACCAAAAAAGGTCAAATAAGCACTTATTTAGGAGGCTCTGTCCGGCCGTCATCATTTGGGGTGGTTTCCGGTGGAATTTTTTGATGAAAATTTTTGAGCATCTTATTCATCAAGTCTAGTTTACTTATACCAAATTTCAGCTAAAACTTTAATCGGGAAGGCATTCAAATGAATTCTTGAAGAAAACTGCGCTTCTAACTGCGCAGTTATTTTCAAGAATTCATTTGAATGCTTTCCCGATTGAATTTTTAGCTGAAATTTGGTATGAGTAAACTAGACTTCATGAATAAGATGCTAAAAAAAATTCATCAAAAAATTCCACCGGGAACCACTCCAAATGGCGACGGCCGGACAGAACCTCCTAAATAAGGGCTTATTTGACCTTTTTTGGTTAGTACATGGGCCTATTTGCACCTTTTCCCATCCAAATCACATGATGATCTCATCCTCTAGTTTAAAAAAAGGACTAACACAGTCTAAATTGGGGCTAGTTGCATATTTTGTCCGAGTTGTGTGCGACTAATTGCCTACTTTTGTAAATACAGCCCTTATTCATACAGTTGCGCCTTGAGTCCTTAGAACCCCATTTAGCCGTTAACCATTTAAGATATAGGTTATGAAAAAAAAAACAGATGGTTGACCCTTATGGCTTAAGTCAAAGGCTTAAAGAGGAACAGTGATGTAGTTGAGGATTATGCTTGCGAAACATGGATTGCTATTTACCTAAATGGCAATTTTCAAAAATGTAAAGTCTTCGTGGTTAATTCCTCAAACACGACCTACACTTAAATTTGAATTTCTGACCATTTAGTTCCCTGATCTTGATTCCTATATCTTGAAACAAAAAAACAGAAACGAAGATGAGCCACGAGGAGTGCATCATACTACTCTTGATGGCCCCATAAGTCTTGGTTGACCAAAGTGCACTGATCTTGGTTTAATTTCAATATCAGATCACAAAAAATAGAAATACTTCCTCCGTCCCAAAATAAATATCTTGTTTGAGTTTGGCACGCTTATTAAGAAGATAGTTAAAAAGTAAAAGGAGTGATGGAAAAATGAGTAGAACTATTTGAAGCAAGGACAACTGCTCATCTCTTTTAAAAAAGGAGACAAGACGATTATTTTGGGACAACCCAAAAAGGTAAACATGATATTTATTTTGGGACGGAGGGAGTATCAAATATCTTAAATAATGTATGGAGTATAGTAGATTGTAAATGCTGATTTAAGTGCAAAATTGCAAATACGAACTAAAAGTGTTTCTTGAAATCTATTAATTAAAGCTAAGGATGAACGATTTGTGACAAAAAGTTGTCACATTTACTCTATTGCAAATCAATAACTACTACACCCAAGCCTTAATCTCAAAAGAGTTTGGGGTCGGGCTAACATGAATCAACATATGAAATCGGAAGTAAAAAGGATACAAAGAGATCAACCCTCCACCCGAATACTCTCCCTCCACTTCACTCTCTCCAAACTCATACTCTCATCCAATCCAAGAAGCATCATATCATTCTTGATCACTCTAATTCATGTTTGTTTGGGACGTCCTCTCCCTCTCTTCCCTACCTCTGCTCCCCACCTCTCAATTCGTTTAACAGGTGCGTCATTCGGTCTTCTACACACATGGCCAAACCACCGCAATCGACACTCTCTCATCTCATCTTGAATAGGTGCTACTCCCACCTTTTTACCGGATTTTCTCGTTCCTCGAGCGGTCTTTTCTAGTATGTACACAAATCCAACGCAACATGCGCATCCCGGCCACACTCATCTTTTGAATGTGGCCTTGTTTTACCACTCAACACTCTACGCCATTCAATAATGCAGGTTTAATTGTTATTCGGTAAAACTTACCCTTCAATCTAGTCGGCATACCTCGATCACATATAAATCCTGATGCACTCTTCCATTTCATCCACCCTGTCTGATTCTATGTATACATCTCCATCAAGTTCACCGTCCTGATATATATATAGAAAAGATCAGGTCCCTCCGGAGGGACGGGAGGGACTGTCCGGCCAAGGCCATCAGAGGCCCTTCCCGGTGGAATTTTTTGATGAAATTTTTTGAGCATGTTCCTCATCAAGTCTAGTTTATCCATACCAAATTTCAGCTAAAAATTCAACCGGGAAGGCACTCAAATGATTTTTGAAAGATAACTGCGTTTTATATGTATATAAACTGCGCAGCTAATTTCCAAAAATCATTTGACTGCCTTCCCGATTGAATTTTTAGCTGAAATTTGGTATGGATAAACTAGACTTCATGAAGAACATGCTCAAAAAATTTCAGCAAAAAATTCCACCGGGAAGGGCTCCAAATGGCGACGGCCGGACGGTGGGTCTTGTCCCTCCGGCTGGACAGGATCAGGCCTCTCTCTCTCTCTCTCTATATATATATATATATATATATATATATATATATTAAAGATCAAATACAAACTAGGCTTAACATGCTAACATACAAACTAATCATGGCCCTCCATCTTAATTAGATTACCACACGGTTGATTTTTTTTAAGTGATGGGCTAAGTAGTCTTTTTTGTTTGTTCATCTCCATCTCCATAGTCACCATTAATAGGGAGCTTCTTGGAACATAAGTAACTCTTCATTGTTTTGGTTATAACTTCATCTCCATCTTCTTCCTCATGAAATCTCGCATGTCGGATATTTTTTTAATTCTTTACAAGATTTAATAGATTTTGACGTTTTGGATTTGAATCTAGTGTGCACGCCAGAAAAGAACATCTTTTTTCCATCATGAGATTTATCATATTTAACGTTTTGTTTTTCATTTTCATGAAGTTCATCAATTCTATATTTATGTAAAAAAATATTTCAATTTTTCTATCTTAATATACCAGAAGCATTTTGTGACCTCATAAATTTAGTATGCCATAGCGATAAGATGCAATGTGAACTTCTAAAGTGCATATACAATCATATTAAAATGCAATATATGAACTTCAATTCTAAATGCACATGTCACAATGATAAAGTGCACATAGCAATAAGGTGCAATATGAACTTGTAAAATACATATATCATCGTATTGAAATGCAATATACAAACATCTAAAATGCACATGTTATAATGATTAAATGGAACATATAAACTACCTAAATGTAGGATCGACATATTTATAACTATGTAGTTCTAATATAAATTATGGAGATATTATAAATATATAATGCACATCATCTAACATTAATATGCACATCCAGTAACGTTAATATGCATATCGAACAACCTTAATATGCATGCACTTCTGCCTTAATATGCTTCATTTCTTACAAACTTAATACGTTAGAAGTTCCAATATAAACCATGCACTCACTATCAATATATCATGCACATTCCATAACTTTAATATGCAATGCTAAAAATGAAAGGTTAATTAAGAAGTGATTAATTCCAAAATCTAAGTTATTTATTTAATGACTTAATTACAATTAATCATTAATTAAAATGGGAAAATTATTTTGCAATTTATGAATGCAAAAAAGGGATTCCATGCATGGAGAATATTTATGCGCATAATCTGATTACGAAATGTAGATTATGCATGTGGCTGAAATTTGGATTTAAAGAAAATGTTGCATGCCCATAATCTTATGGTTTTTCATATTTTTCATATATTTGGACGGTTAATATATTAGTGGAAAGTTAATGGAAAGTTAGTAGAAAGTAGCATAAATGGTGGGATTTAGTCATTATTCTATTTCCATGTTTAAGTTTACGGAATCATTAGTTTAAATTGAATTTACCCATTTGACCTTCCCAATTTTCCATCATTTGCAATGGAGCCAAAGATTCATTATTTTTTGGTTTGAGAATATGATGGAATAAAGCAAAATGGCTCACCAAACTGTCTGCTCTTCTTGGTTATGAAGCAACGACAGTCAGTCCATGCAATTTTTTATGCGATTTTCATTATGGGTCATCCGGAAACAGTCTCTCTGTGCTATAGTACATGGGTAAGACTGCGTACATCCGACCCCCCCTTACCCCACCGTAGGTGGGAGCCTTTGCGGCACTGGGGTAAATGATGATTGATTGATTGATTGATTGACCTTCCCAATAATCGTAGGATGCTATGTGGTTTGGGTTATTTTATTCCATGCATCTCACCACACAGACAAAACATACGCCTTGCATATCACGGCTCTCCATGTCTTAATAACGGAAGGATGAGATTAGTTTGTAGGTTTGCATGGGAGGAGTGGTTTGTACATGATCTCACCCCTATATATGTGTGTGTGTGTGTAGTGAAACAATTAACAAAAGTTTACTCCATATATGTTAATATGTTTTCATGTTCCTTATACTTGCAACTGCACCTTCTACACACATATTTATACTATTTGTGGCTAAAGCATAATATGGTAATATAGTTGTGAATTTTCTGAATTGGTGACTCTTATTTATTCTGGACAGTGAGGAACTGTCTCATATGCTTTACGCTGCTGCAGACATGGTTGTGGTCCCTTCCATATATGAACCGTGTGGCCTTGCTCAGATGATTGGAATGCGTTATGGAGCAGTATGTGCCCATATCATAAGCAAATACTGTATAATTTTATGTGGATGGCTGAAAATTTTTCTCATCTTTCCATTTAACTGATAAAAGAGAATGGGCGGAACTGTGTGGAGCTGGGTGAGGAGTTAGGTTTTGGAGCGGAATGGGCATTTCTGTTTTTATAAAGTAATGCTTTGACATATGCACACAAATATATCAGGAAAAAAGGTATCAAGACTTTCTGTTAGTGGAAAGGAATTTTGATAATGTATCAAAACTTTTCCTGTTTGTGGAAAGAAAATTTCTAGTTTGATATGAGTAAAAGGTAAAAGGGTCTAATAAGTCCTACTTTTTCAAATAAGTGTCACATAGATATATCTACTAATAAAAAAGGCTCAATTGGACCAGTTCACCTGAAGACGACCTGCTATTGCAGGCATCTTTTTTTTTTTGCATCACTGTCCAGCTTTAATAGATTGACCGTTGCAATTCTAGATCTTCCCCTCGTCTTCTTCTCCTTCACTTATGGGGAAGATAGCACCACCGCCGCAGTAAAAACCATCATATGGGTTAATAGATGGTTTTTATGTGTAAGTAGGTTCCTGTGATACTTATTTCAGTAAAGAAGCTTTTGTGATGAATTTCAAATAGCAAAAGGGTTTATTTGACCCTATTCCCTTTATACAAATATATATGCATATTGCATACAAGTATCTGAGTTGAAAAATGTATCAATACTTGCTGTTAGTTAATGGAAATTTTGATAAACAGACCTACATCTTGTTAACTCTATGAGAGTTGGTCAGTTTTTTAATCCATGCGGTACAGAATCATTGATTATACGTTACCTCAAAATTCTTTTCGTGTTATCTTGTAGCTTTAGTAAGTAAGTCTTTTAAAATAACTTCGATTCTCAATTCAATTGGGCTTTGTTTATGACTGTTTCAGGTTCCCATAGTCAGGAAGACTGGCGGCCTCGCAGATACAGTTTTTGACATGGACAATGACTCACAATCAGATATTGCAAATGGGTATTGAACTACTTGATATGCTCTTCCACACTTTATGCTATGCAACATCGATTAGTAAACTCATTCATTATCCAGAATAGTTTAGCTGCATATTTGCCATATAACTGTGGATGAGTATCTCACCATTCTGCGTATGTAGTTTGTTTCATGTGATCTCATTTCCACATGTTTTATCTATTAGTATTTCCGACATATAACTGGCTATATTCGAAAAGTAGAGGAGATTATGGAGATTGAAGAATTAAGTACGCCTAAAAAAGCTAGAAGATAAAAATAACATAACAACATAAAAAGCTAAAGAAGATAAACGATAAAAGAAAAAGAGAGAGGAAAGATAGAAAAGAGATCAATCGTCTACACGAATATGCGCCCTCCACTTTGCTCCACTTTGCTCTCTCCAAAGTCATACTCTTTTATGTGGATGACTGAATTTCATCACGTTTTCTCCACCAAATTCTCTGAAATATGAATTTGAGTTCCAGTCGGGAATCGGGATTGTTCAGTATAATTGACTTTGATGTTGTTGTATGAACTGTGGCTTGGAATAAAAAAATTGTAGCCTTCCTCTTCTTAAGCTAACTGGTCTAGATCTACATGTGAAATGATGTTTGTTGTTAAGAAGAGTGTTCTGGTAAAAGTCCCAGTGGAGAGCGTCTTCGAGAGTCGAGACTATTGAATAGTGTGTTTGCTTTTGGGAAATTGTTTTTGTGAGTCTTAAAGAGTGATATTCTTAATGATTGCCTCAATCTTAAGACTTTTACTCTGTTGATCAATGTGCAATATAGTGAATATAGCCTACTTGAGTGATTAATCCAATCTTGAATTGTGGCAATTTATCGAAGTATGTATGTTGATGAAAAATCTCAACATTTCGGTCCTTCAACTGTTCCTTCAACGGTTGACACGACATTTGAGCATCAATTTTAAGGGTAGTCCAATTCCAATCGATCTACTGGACATTGTCAAAATGATACGATTCCAACCCACTTAAAAGAGTGTTCTAATAGATGCAATCTCACATCAAAATGTTAAAAAGAAACAGGGATATAAGGTTTTGAGTTGGACTGATCGGTTAGATTCTACTCTGTATCTTTTAATTCTAAAAAGTGGGGGAGCCTGGTGTGGGTCCGGGGAAGGGTCCCACCACCAGGGTTATCATTTATTCTAACAATTATGAAATTTCCTTTGAAATCACAGCATGCTCCCCACATCCCCTTTTTTCACCCACTTTTACTTGGCACGTTTGTCCGTATTTTAGAAACTGGATTTGTGTGCTTGTGAAAGACAACACACAAAGGAAAAAGGGAATAAACATATGGGTCCAAGGAGTATTTCTATGCGGGTTGTTACATACATTTTTAAAACTCTAATACATTGTTACATACATTTTTATGACAGGTTTGTCTTCGAAGGAATTGATGAAGCATCCTTAAACTGGGCTTTAGAACGTGCATTTTCACACTATAGAGAGAGTAAGTCATATAGTGTTAAAGATTTCCCCCCTCCCCCATAAAAAATACAATTGACAAAGAAAACATATTCAGTTGATATAATCATTCATTTTTGTTCGCATCAGAAGTCTAGGCTTAATATTGAGTTAAGATATTGGTAGAAACGTAGAGTTAATGCTTTCACTAATAAAGGCACTGCACAAACTCTCACATCTCCAAAGATTCATCATACTTATTTCATTTATGATTTGTCTCAACTTATCTGTGCCAAGCTTGGATAAAGCAGGGTTAACCTGGTAATGAATGTTACCAACCTCAAGGACGGTTATATAAATATATAATATCATCCTCTACATGCTAGGATTTACCGACTGTTTTTTTAGTTGCAACAATTTGACCATTACTATGTTTTATTATCTACTAGTAAAAATTATTAAGTGTTGATATTTTGGAAATGTAGAGACAAATTTATTTATCGCGATCTACATAATACTATCTATGATTTATTGTTATACACGAGTAAAAAAATGGTTAAAGTATGATATGTAAATAAATAGTTAAGGTGTTGCAACTAAAAAAGAATGGGTGAACTTTAATATTAGTTGATATATGTGCCGCGTGACGGCGTGAGTTCAAATGAAGGAGTAATAGGCAGATATTAGATGTATTGGAATTCACACTCAAATAGTCAAATATGATGAGCTACAAATGAGGAGGCTAAGCCTGGAAATACATGTTAATAAATCTGCTTATTAATCTGATGATATTTCTTGTCGTGTTATTTATCTTCCTCATTATATATGTAGGGCCACGTGAATGGGATGATACTGTGAAGAAGGTTATGCAAATGGACAACAGCTGGAATAACACGGCAGAAAAATACATTGACATCTACAACTCTGTGAAGGGTTAAAAGTGATCCCCCTCACCCAAATTGTATCTGGGAGTCCTTGGAATCCCAATGGTTTTGTTTCAAAGTCTGGAAATACATGTTTGGAATCTGCTTATTGACTTGAGAGTTGATAATACTATAAAGAACAGCACAACTAGAGTACAACAAGCAAAGCTTGAAATGTTAGTCTCTAAACATTTATATTTGACTGGCTGGGATTTGCCAGGCAAATACCAATAGGAAATCAACAAAAGAAGATTCTGGAACAAAACTACTACCCTTTACTAGGTAATCTATCTACTGAACAGGAAAATAAGAATTGGGAACTGGCCAGCAACAGGAAAGGGAAAGGTTTTTTTTTTTTTTTTGCTTATGAGAAAAGAATAGAAATGACAGCTATCTGGAAATTGGTTCTATATTCTCCCTAGCCCCCATCTTTTGGGGGCAACTGCTTACTACTGCCGCCTTCCAGCTGGAGGCTATCAGCAAGGGAATCAGCTAAATGATTTACAGTATCAGCAGCTGATGATGCTGCAGCAGTGGTCTTTGGCACCACAGCCCGCTGTTTAGCCTTCCTTTCCAACAGTGCTTTCTCCCTGTCATTGTAGAATGTAAAATCATCTAACATTGAAGCCTCAGCGTCGTAATCCTTGAAAATCTTCAGCATCTCTATCCCTTGTTCCAATTTTACCTGGAATAACCCAACAAATCAGCCCCGTGCCAATATACAAAAGAAACAGTTTCATTCTTGAATGTTAGTCTCTAAACATTTAACTGGCAAATCCAAGTTTGCAAGTGGATTTTAGCAAAAACCACAACTTGCTAAGTTGCTAAGTGGGCTCCTAGCAGTGTTCGCAACAGCTTTTAAAGAGCACTTTTATGTTTTTAGCCGTACATCCCACACATAAAACTGAATTTTACTTATTCTATACTATTTTATTTAAATAGTGCATCAAAAAACACTTTTTCCCATAGTGTTTCATTTAAATTGTACATAATAAGTACGTAGTACTATTTACCAAACACTTCAACTTCTACTTTTCAAAAATCACTTTTACTTTCAAAACAACCCGCATTCACGATCACAAATATTGACAATGACTTATTTGTATTACTCCCTCCGTCTCCTTTTAAATGTCTCATTTTACCATATTGGGATGTCCCTATTTAATTATCTCATACCTTATTTGGAAAAGTTCGTGTGGCTCAAAATCATTCTTACTTTATTCTTACTTTATCAATTAACATAAATCATACAAACCCACTTTTCTTAAAACTCGTGTCACCCTCTTCTGAGACATTTAAAAGGGGACGGAGGGAGTATCTAAATAAGTTAAACCTAGCATATTGGTACTGTTATGCAGAATGGAGTATGAACCCCACAATTACAGATCACATCCAATAATATACCAAAATCTAGATGACGAATTCAAATGTACCTCCTGAGAGTCTCGACTATGAGTGACAGGTTTGTTGTCATTGTTTTCCAGTAGAATATGACGAAACTGTATGTTAGGAACGTCTTTAATGAAATGCCATTTAACAGGGAATTGTCCACTCCATCGGTCCTGTTGCCAGTACTCAGCGTCTTTCTCAAAATCAATTGGCCCTTCCATTTCAGCTACTCCACAGAATTGTCCACTAGCATTGACCTGTAGAATGTTAATTACTTTGAGAATATTTCAAAATTTACTCGCGTTTAACAGTGATGATTAAATAATATTTCAATAATAGCATTAACATGCACGAGCAATTTAAATAACATAATCTATGCTAGGTATCCATTTTTTACACATCAGAAAGGACTAAATATGACTAAACAATACTAAATTCCAAATGACCAGGGACTAAAATCAAACACCTCATCAAGAGGATAAATGGGGCATGGCATCAGGCATCTCTGAAGTAGGAGTGTATTTGGGATAGCATATTTTTAAGACATGAGTCCTCTTTAGAGAAGTAAATGTACTTTTACTTCAAACAAGGGTTTTGCAGGAAACCGATATGGTACTTTCAAGCGCAAAAAGATTTCTAATGCCTGTATAAGAAGACAGCAGATTGATGATTTGCTAAAATCTAATGATAAAGGAATTATGACAAAGGCAGTTGCACCATTAATTATTCCAAGTAGGCTGTAGATAGCATTTAACTATCGATAAAAGCTATAGCATAAACCCTTTTCATCCTATAACTGGACAGTTTTTAAAGCAATACCCCCCACCAGCCTTTCAATGCATATGTATCAGCAGAATGGAAGAGGAAAATATATTATTGTTTAGGTGCATTTGAAAAAGGATTGGAGACACATACCGAAAAAAACAGAAAAACCGGGCAAGTGCTACTAAGATCCTTTGCTTCTCGATAAGCAGCGTCAAGCTTTCTGTTTCCAAGGGGTGTGCTGGACCAAACTTTATACTTGATGCTTTTATGAACATTGTCTTCACTGAAGGACTTGATAACGAAGAACTTAGCTTGTTCATAATCCACAACAAATTCAGGGCGGTTGACATGGTCAAGATCTTTAAGAACTCCGGACAAGGAGTTCTCTTCAGTGGAACTTCTGTTCTTTAGCTTCAAAGCCCTGGGCCCCCTGCTCCGCTCACTGGATACACCAAGGGACTCAGAAGAGATGTTGGTCGAGCCTTGTTCCCTGTCACTTCTAAAACCTTTTGCAGTAGCAAAGCGATTCTGGTTACCAGCTTCCCAACTAGACCCACTGGCATAGTTTGAACTTGGATAGGATCCACCACGGATGTAGTGTCTAGTAGAGGGGCCTGGTGTGTATCCAAGACCCTGAAATGATGAATCATTTGAAGCTAAAATGAGTGGGTCGGCAGGAATAAATGAGTTGGAGTTAGATTGGTCATTTAAACAAGATAAGCTTTAACTAAAAAGGGAACATTGAATATAGTTTTGGAAGAATGAAAAACAAGTCGGAAGATAATTTTGGGGCATTATATATTGTGAAATTTAACTCCATATAATATTTCATTAGCCTACGTGATTTCTTTAAAAACAAGACGCTATTTTAACGAGAAATTTAAGGGAGACAGTTATTTCTTACATTGTTTAGTGGCATTCTTATAATCTTATGCGTCACTCAAACCACTACAAAACTAATCATTAAAATACTGAGCCCCACTCAAAAGTCAAATCCACTCAACAGATGCCACATAAGAACGTGATCCATTTAGAGCCCGTTCGATAGCATGAAAATCGGCTGATTTGGCTGATTCTGCTAAAATTTATTAAGTTCTGGCTGAAGTGGCTGCATTGGCCGATTCTGCTGATTTAAGAAAAAATTATTTTTGAAATTTATTTTTTTAATAAAATAAAGAAAAAATTATATGTAAAAATAACTAAAATGGTCATCTACAGTAACTTCAGCCAATACAGCCAGAAAAGTAACTCCAACCATACTTTTTCTGCTCATTACACAATTCAGCACACGAAAGCAAAAATTACGTGTTTGGTTAAAACGTTGGTTGATAAGCCTGATAAGCCGAAAACAGTGTTGCTAAACGGCCTCTTAATAACTTCTTGAATCAATTGACTACTTCTCGAAGACGAAATGTTATAGCTTTAAGTCATTCTATGCAAATAATAATAATAATAATGGTGTAATAGCAAACCTGTGCAACATTTTGTTCATACGACCCAAGGAGGCCAAACTGTTGTGGATACAATGCAGCTGATGTCAGAGGAGAAGCATATCTACCGGAGTCCACTGAATTAGGTCGATTTGTCAAAGGTTGTTCTGCGGACCTAAAATCATTCTGGAATTTGTAAAATCCAATGTTGCTGTTTCCAGGAAGCTCTCCTCCAGTGAAAGATCCAAAGGGCATGTAGTAACCTGATCCTGGTCCATAGATCATACCATCACCAAAACTTTCATGGTTACCACTTCCAGGTGGCATTATTAGCTCAGACTGAGAGGCAGGAAGAGCTTGAGAAACATGTGGGGGTCCGGGTGAAATAGGTGGGTAGTAGGATGGAGATATCGGGACTTGGTGTGGAGAATATAGCTGACCGTCTATCATTATGGGGGATAGAGGACCGCCAATAGGGGAGAATTGTCCATATGCCATCTGAGCATCATAACCATAACTAGGGGGGAAAAAGAATGATGAGTTATCATTGTATACTGCCTGTATAAGGTCAATCATAGCAAAAAATGAGCATTTGGTATGTGGTGAGAGTATGAATATAAAAATAATAAGTAGGTTAGATGAGAGGGTGGATTTCAAACTCACTGGGGGTATGACCTGCAAGTTATTAGGATTCACTTCATTAGAGTGCTCAGCCCAATTTCCTGAACTGTTATCATAACCTGAATCAAAGCCAAAGACAGACAGTCCAATTTCTATATTAGTAGTGCATTCAATCTATCTGTTTCCATGTTCGCCCCCATTTAAAGTTTCATTTTTGAAATTCTACGACAGCAGAATTCATTAATTAACTTCACAAAGAGGAAAAAGTGATAACTGCATACGAAATTAATTATCCCAACTAACTTAACAACTATTTCCAAAATGCTAGTTTGCTAGAGACAACTAGTTGAACGTCCCAATTAGAGGTGTCATGTAAATAGAACAGTTAGGTAGTAATCCAATTTTAAGTTTTAACAAGTGAAAAAAATAAGCAACTTAAATCCTTGCAAGTATTTCTGGAAGTGAAATCACATAAACTTGCTACATCAAGTAAAAAGTGTACACCTGAGGCAAGCGTAGTAAATCAGATTGTTAACATACTTTGATAGACCACAAATGAGCAAGTGGGCATTTATAATATCTCAGCATGGATAGTATAGAACCATGGATCAGGTAAAGAGTAGCTAATAGGAACAAACCTCCATAATAAAAACTTTGCTCCGGTGGAGTGTAAGAATTCGATGGATACATGGTGGGAAAAGCTGCACTTGTTTCAGAACTAACAGGTTGATCTTTCACATTTACTGAAACAGCAGACATGGCTGTAACTGGGGAAGCATTTACTGAAACAACCCTTTCATCCTTGGGTGAAATAGACTGACAACAGATTAAAAAATTATTAAAGGAAATATGGAATACAATAATACATTACATGTGCAGATGTGTTATTTTAAAAATACACAAATTTTACAGATACAATAGACAATTAGCAGCATACCTGTTCCGCTGCAGCATGGTGCTCAACTCTCTTACCTGCACCATTGTAAGATGAACCCATAGCT